TTAATATCCCTAGTTGTAGTTCGTCTAGAAAATGGTCTATAACTAGGATTATGATAATTTTGAATATATTCTACGAAACCCTTAGATTCACCAAAGCCTAGTGGTAAATCATCAGAAGCAATAAGATGACATAGACCTCCACAACCTGAGTTTGCGCCACTGCTGAGCTCAACGCGGTCTCTGCATCCGTCTTGGCGTGGGCCTCCACATGCCTATTAAGGTGGCCGGTTCCTGCCTTGGCTTCTCCTGTATGTAATTTCTGGCACCTTTTGCACCTTGCCTTCACCTCCCGGACACCGGCCACCATGGATATTTCTTCATCGAAATGATCCCACACCGCGGATGTTCTACAACGAACTCTCCTTGCACCCACGGTGGTGGAGGAACCGGTCACACTACTAGAATTGGTATGAGCTTTGGGTTCGAGAGTGGGATTGGTATGGGCTTCGAGAGTGGGATGATCAGTATAAGCATACCCGACATTTTTGATCGGGTGGGGATAGGTAGTGGGATCAGAGGTAGGAGGGTAAGGGCTATACTCCATATCCCCAAGAACGAAATCGGAGAATGAGAAGCTAAGATCATGGTTATCATCCATGTTTGAGTGTGACAAATGTGGGGAGGGCAGCCCTATTTGTAGCAAAAAGTTGACAATTTTGACCCTCCAACGGTCAAAAATTCAAAAATATGGATTTAAAAAAAACAGACCCTAACCCCTCCAAAACCCATCCTAAACCCCCCTAAAACCCCTAACCCGCTACCCCACCCAGCGCCTACACCTCCCGCAAAGGTAGGTCAAACACCGCTTCCCCATTGATTGAGGCGGGCCACCCGTGTCGTGTAGCATGCCTCATGTCTTGTCGTGCAACGTGCCGACACATGAGTAATCGTGTCGTGCCGGGCTGGCCCGCGTGCTGAGGCTGGCGGCCCTGGCACGGTCCAAGGCGTGTTGCATGCCTGGCACACCACGATTAGCCCGTGTTGGGCCTGACCCGTCGCGTGCCGTGCCGGTGTGCTCGTGGGCCAGCCCATCAAACACGACCCATTTGGCCAGCTTTGGGTCGGGCAAGCGTGAACAGAGATGGATGAGGAGCCTAGAAAACGTCCGGTTTGTGTCTGCTTCAGACCCAAATCATGAGTAATTTTGGTTTGAAAATGGGCTAGATAGACTAAAAGCGGATAAAAAAAAATTAAGATGGGTCTGTGCGCTGGGTCTTCTTTTTTGTCCGTTTGAACCTAAACAGACACTTTAGAATGAAATGGGGTTGTGCGTCGCATGACCCCAAATCATTCGACCGCGTTCGAATGGGGCAAAACTTGGCCCAAGGGGCGTACCCAAATGGACAACTTGTCTGCTGGTGTCTATTTTTTGTCCGGCCAGACCCTAAACCTAGACCAAATTTGGGCCACAAATGCGTCTCCAATGGACGAAAACGAACGCTCTCATCGTTTGCTTATGTCCGTCCCTGGCCCACATATCAACGACTCCACTTCATGCACGTACGCCTTCCCTCCGCGACCTGCTCGTGCGGGAGCGCTCCATGCTCCCTGCGTTCGCCGCCCACCGCCCTCCTCCTCCTTCCTCCTCCGCCCACCGCCCGCCTGCCGCACCCTCAGCCTCGCAGATGCCGTCCCATCCCCACGGGACTCCAAGATCCGCTAGCTGCATCGCAGGGCCAGCCACAGTCGTCGAAGCCCCGCGCTGGCTGAGGTGGCCATGCGCTACGACCTCGGGCTGTCGCACCTCCTTGCGCGCGGCATCGTGCACCTCGTCTTCGGGCTGGACCATGTCGATGGCCACGCGCACCTTCCCCAGGGCGCGGCCCGTCCCACGCCACAACTGGTGCTCGTGCTCCCCTTCAACTAGCGTGCGTGCACGGTCACAACGAGCTTCGCGGGTTGGCCGGAGGGCCTCTGTAGGGCAGCGACATCGAGACCGAGCACACCGTTGGCCCCTCCAGGGAGGCAGGGACAACGGCACCATGCAGGAGAGGGGGGAAGGCTGGTCCTAGAGGTGGAAAGGGAGTGGTTTGTCCGTTTAGGTCCTGCCGCGTTGGGTGTAGATGCGTCGCCCGACCATCCATTCCCGGACGCCGCCCATGTCACGACCCAAATGAACAAATGTTCGCGTCTGTTTAAGGTCTAGCGTTTAAGTTGGCCTAAGAGGCACCCCCACAGCAGCGTCGTGACCTTCAGCCTTCCTTCTTGCCAAAACCAACACAACCCAAGTTGTCCCGCCTTGTCCTGGCAAGTCCAGCAGTAGCCTAGTCGGTGAGGAAGAGGGGAGGCACATGTGTGGAAGTAAGGATGGCAACTTTACCCTTGGGTACGGGTACCGGTGGATACCGTACCCGCATGGGCAGGGTATTGGCACAATTTTATACCCACGGGTATTATCCATATCCTACCCGTTAAGTCATAGGGTAGGGCACGGGTATAGCCTTTTACCAATGGATATACCCGTACCCTACTCATTTATACTAACATGTAAACCTTAACCGCGATTCACAATTGTACTTATGTTAATGTTATGTCATGAGGTTGTGAATCTATATTAAAGTATTTACCAATTGTTAATTTGATTTGAGATAATTGTCATGTGGTCATCTATCTGTCATTGAGTAGAGATCAATATTTTTTAGTCAAATGTGCTATAGATGAATCTAAAATTTTGAATTACATGTGTACTGTTTGATCTAGCCATTGGGTACCCAATGGGTATGGGTACCTGTCAGGTACGAGTACGGGTAAAGTTTCATACCCGTGAGTATGGGTATGGGTAGAATTTTGTACTTATTGACTATATGGGTATGGGTATGGTATTGCTCTACCCGTCACATACCCTACCCATTGCCATCCTTACGCGGAAGGAGTACACCGGCTGACAGTGTGGCCCCAAGCGCTCACCGCACCACCGATTTACCATAAGTCTCTATTTAGGTACTGGTGGACGAATAAGTAATTTTACCGGTGTCGGGATGTACCGGTGGGCAATCCACCCTTAGTCGTTTTCATCAAGATCCGTGCAGGTTTTATACTCTATTTTCAAATATCAGACTACACATAGCAATACATGTACTAGTGTCAGATATTGTCAGCTTTTACAGAAGAGAGAGTTAAAGTAGAGACAACGGTGCATGCATGCATGCATTCACTCACGGGATACATATGACATGCATTTTATTTTCATCCTCATATTTTTAATGACTTATATCTTTTGAACCAAATGTCCATTATTGAAACTTTTTGTATATTTAAATTTGTGGTGACAAGATCTACAGAACAAGATCAATTTTGGATATGTTTGAAATCACTTTCATAAAACACTAAATTGTTTCACTATTTCATAAAAGTTTTTTCTAGTGTTTTGCTCATTTTCACAAACTGGAATATGAAACTCACAAAGACACAGATATATTTGATATAGTAGTAAAATAGAAGTTTAATATATTCAATTTAGACGTGTTTGACTCCAACTTAGACGTGTTTGAAATACTCAATTTCACATATTTTAAATAAACCTATTTCACTAATTTCTTATTTTTATATTTTAATTATCTTTTAATATCGCTTTCATAAAACATAAGATTGATCCTCTATTTCATAAAAGTGTTTTTGACTGTTTCGCTAATAGAAGTTAAAAAATCATTTCACTCATTTCAAAAATAGATTTCACACATTTCAGAAAACACATTACTCTCATTTGCAATACTAATTTCACTGCAAATTTAAGAAATATATTGAAATATATTCCTCTCAAAAAAAATATCAGTTTCAAACACTGAAAAATTAGTTTCACAACAAAAAATGCTTTTATTTCACTTTTATTCAAATAACTTATTTCACTCATTTCAGAAAACACACTGCACTCATTTACAAAATATAGTTTTCACCCGTTTCACTAGTTTCAGAAAACTGATTTCACTCATTACAAAATATATATGAGAAACTAATTTCACTTCGTATTCATGAAAAAAATATTGAAACATATTTCACTCAGCAGAAATATCAGTATCACACAATGAAAAAGTCGTTTCACACCAAAAAGATATATTTCACTTTTTTCAAATAACTCGTTTCACTCATTAGAAAACACACTACAGTCGCTCAATTGAATAATATATTTCACTTGTTTCAAAAAACTGATTACACTTATTACAAAAGATAAATTTCACTAGTTTCAGTAAAACACATCACAGTTACTCCATTGAAGAAACAGTTTCACAAGCTAGAATATGAAACTCACAAAGAAAACTATATTCGGAAAAGTGTTTCAATCATTTCAATAACTGATTTCAATCATTTCAAAAATTGTAATTTGAAATGAGTGAAATTAATATTTCGATGTGATTGAAATAGTAAAAAATTAAACTAGTTTAAATATATTCAAGATTGGTATCATTATAAAGATCTTATGTTCAAGAATTTGAATATATTAAAATTTTAAAGAATAGTACAAAGCTGTAAAAAATATTGGTCGTCTAAAAATATAACCAAAAATAAAATGCATGGATTTGTTTAAGAGAGAGGAGAGATGCTGCATGCATTCGTACATTCCACTGCAAAAAATACTGCCTTTCCCTGACGTGGATCCTACTAGTCTGACATTGATTTGACTATATACAAAAGGTCACCTGTCTTAATACATGATTATACATATGGATGGGTCCTATTTATGCATAGATCATAAAGCATGTGGAAGGTGGATGCCGCTCCGGTACATCCCGTCTCCGGTAAAAAGGAGTTTGCATACTGGTGGAGCCCAAGCACCTCTCACCAACCGCGATGCACCACAATGCAGCATTTTGAGGGAGCTTGGAGTTTTAGTGGATATAGCCAGTCCCATTGATCTGATTTAAGCGTCCAGGCATTCCCATTGATCTGGTTTAAGCAACTTGGATTACAACTAACATCCAGTTCTTGAAAGCAATACCCTTTCTTGCCTACAGGCTACTTCTGCAAAGCAAGAAGAAATTCCGTGATCCAACACCCGCGAAATACTACATGAACTCGCTCATCATGGTGAGCACCTGCGCCATCCTGGGCCTCTCCTCCGGCGCCTCGGCGGTGCACAACACGCCGATCTTCACCATCCCCATCGTCTCCTCCCCTTCGCCCTCTTCCTCGCCGCCGTCCGCGGCGCCCTTGGCGGTCACCACCGCCAGGAGCACCATCCCGAAGCTGTACACGTCCGACTCCTGCGTCGCCCTCGCGCCCGGCGCCGTCAGCTCCGGCGCCGCGTACCCGCGCCATCCGCCGCGGCTCGACACCGCCCGGTCCAGGAACAGCTCGGGCGGCTGCGGGGCGGACTGCTGGACGCTGGCGGCGTAGCGCATGAGCCCGCACTCGGAGACGCACGCGGCGCTGCGCTCGTCGAGGAGGATGTTGGACGGCTTCACGTTCCCGTGCACCAGCGCCGGCCGCGCCGGGAACGTGTGGATGTAGTTGAGTCCCTGCGCCGCGCCGAACAGGATGCCCTTCTTCGTCGCCCAGTCCAAGCTCCTCGTTCTGCCGCCTCCACCTGTAAACAGCCCGTCAACGAGCACTTCTTGCATCAATGGGGATGTGCAGCGCCATTGAAAATTCACGGCTGATTTGTCATTTTTTGAGCGCACATACCGTTGCCTCGCAGAAGGGACTGGAGGCTCCCGTTGGGGAGGTAGTCGTAGACGAGCAGCCGCTCGCCGTTGGAGTTGCAGTACCCCCTGAGGCTGACGACGTGGCGGTGCCGGAGCCTGCCGACGAGCCGCATGTGGCGGTCGAAGGCCTTGCTCCGGCCGGGGAACTGCAGGGCGCTGAGCCGCTTCACGGCCGCCACGATGCCGTCCTCGAGGACCGCCTTGTACGTGCTCCCGGACACGCCCTTGCCGAGCACCTCCGCCGAGGCCTTGAGGAGGCTCTCCAGCCTCAGCTCCTCGCCGCCGTCGAAGCAGACCAGAGCGCCGCTCTTCTGGCACTTGTCTTCACCACTTCTGATCTTGTCCTCCTCCTCGAAGCAAAGAGCCGCATTGGATTTGGAATCATCCTTAGAGGGCCTCAGCTTTCTTCTCATGTAGACGAACATGGCTACAGAGATAGCCAACGAGATCACTATGAGCACTGCGTTGCCAATGCCGGTGGCCACGAGTGCAGTCATGCCAAGCTTACTGAATCTTCCATTACTGGAGGAGCTCGGACTGCCACTAGCTGTATTTGTCGCTGCACTAGGAGATTGAGCGACACCCGTGGTAGCATTTGAGGTAGTACCATCTTCCACTGCATTGTAAGCATGGGTACATCTTGGAAGAGGCTTGCTGCAGAGATCGATATTGCTGCCGAAGGACGAGCTCGGGAATCCCGAGAGGGAGCTGGGGATCTCTCCGACGAGCTTGTTACTTGACACGTTCAACTTTCTGAGGAACGGCACACGCAATGCTTGCAAGCCGCCATGGAATCCGTTGTGCTCTGCTCTCAGAGTGACCAGGGAAGGCAGTGAAAGCTTGAGGACGCCGCTGAGGTTGTTGTGGGAGGCGAGCAGGTGCCGCAACCTTGGGCTCGTGGAGTTGTCCAACGGAGGGAGAGGGCCGGACAGGGAGTTCCTCCTGACGGCGAGCACCCTGATCTGGGTGAGCCCGAGGAGGGGAGCCACGCTGCCGACCAGCGATGCGTCGTCCAAGAAGACGCCCGCCACCCTTCCCCTGGAGCACCTGACACCGAGCCACGAGCCGGAGCATGGGTCGGGGCCGACCCAGGTCTCCAAGGCCGTGACGTTGTTGGGGTTGTAGGCCTTAAAGGAGAGGAGGAAAGGGAGGTCTTGGTGGCCGCCATTGGCGACTTCACCGTGCACAAGCCATGTTGCAAGATGGAAGAGGAGGATCACGAGGGGGAAGAACATGGAGAAGCAGTAGCGGAGACGAGGCATTTTGGTGGATGCCCTCTCGACTGATGAAGATTGGATGTGTTTTATAGCAGAAAGAAGAGGCGAATGCTGCGCGGGGAGAGCGGGGTTTTTTGAAAAATCTGAATTGTGGAGAGATCTCAACTGTAGAAGCGTGGAGAGGCGACAAGCAGAGCTCCAAAAAGGAAAGCTAGGGAGTAGCGCAGCATGGTGGAGGTCCTCGAGGAGGACAGGAGGAGGGGCACAAGCAAATGAGGTGGAGAGAAAGCAAACAAGGCGCCTTTTTCTCTCTCCCTCGGGCAGAAGGAATTTGGACGTTTCCGGGGAGGAGGCCGATGCGTGGCTCGGTGCGTCCCGTGAACCGCCATGGACATGGTCGCCGTGCGCGTACATGCACGCTCCGCTTTGTTGAGATGATCGAAAAGTGAGGGAGAAGGGCTCTTGGTTCCATGGCGCGGTGCAGTGTGGTGCGTGGGAATCTTGCTGGTGGCTTCAGGTGCCACAGTAGCCAATAGTCAAGATTCCTTCGTGTGTCATCTGTTCGACTTTTTCTGTTTTGGTCGTGAGAGCTGGGACCAGAAAATTTCCACTCAGCGCACGTCGGTAGTGCGCGGCCAACTCAACTCGAACGCACGATCTTAAACGGACGTTCGTTTTGTTTGAATTTCGTCTGTTTGGGGTGACAATAGAATCATGTCTGTCCGGATTTGAGTTTGCGTCGGCTGGGCGCCCCGCATCTTTTCCTCGTGCATGCAAAATTGAGAAACCAAGGATTTAAGACGCGGCCGCGGTTCGCACTAGTTCACGCCGGACGGCAACACATCCGGCGGCCTATAGTCTGATGCGGACAACAAAGCCAGCGGTCGGCACAGGAGTCAGCCTTCAAAAAGGGCATGTTTCACGCCGGCAACAAAGCCAGCGGCCGGCACACGAGTCGGGCTTCAAAATGGACAGGTTTTGTCGCCGGCAACAAAGCAAGTGGCCGGCACACCAGCCACCCTTCAAAAAGGACCGTCCTCGGGGCCATCGCGACCGATGTCTCACCTAGATCAGGCCGTCGCGGGCGAACATCTCCTTCTGTCGGTTCGTGAACCAAACCTTTCTCTCCGGTGACATGTTGTTCTTGTTGACGATCATCAACGCTAGTGTCACCTCCTTGACTTTTGTGTCGGCATTGGTGGCCTCGATCTCTAGCTTCTTGAGTTGAGCGGCCTCATTGATGTCGAGCTTCCTCTTCTTCACGGCCTCCTCCATGTCAAATTTCTTCGTTTGAAGATCTAGGTACATCTTCATTTGGTCCTCCTCTCCTCCCGCACTTCCTTTTGGCTCATCATATCCTCCAAAGTTCCTTCCAAGGCTATAGAAGATGCATCACGCTTCTCGTTGGCCTTCGAGCTTGTCTTGCCCCTCGACCTCTTGAGCACGTCTCCCACATCAGCCACGACCACCGCCTTCTCTCCTCCCTTCTTCCTAAGAGCATTGTATTGGTCCTTGAACTTGGGGCAATCTTTGATGAGCACCCAACAATGCGTGAGAGTGAATGACTTGTCTTTGTGCTGGGCCTTGAAGGCCTCCAAAGATTGGAATGCCTACACAATCAAACATGCGGCCACAATTGTAACATGAAAGGACATAGAATGCATGAAACTTAAATGGCATGCCAGCATGAATGGACGCATGATGAAAAAGAGAGAGGTTCATACCAAGTCACCAAGGCCTAGGCCGCTCACGGGACGGGCTTTGACGCTCTCAAGCGCGGCACAATATTTGTTGCATTCTTGTTGGATGAATCCCCACCATTTTTTGATTGAATTGATGTCGCGGGTGCTTGTGAATTGGTAGGGGGCAAACTTTCTTCGCTCATGAAAGTTCTTGTGAACTCTTGTCCAAAAGATGGCTCCTTTTTGCTCGGCACCTTTGATTGGATCTTGGCCGATTTCCTTCCAACTCTTGCAAATCAAAGTCTCCTCAGCATGGGTATATGATCCCGTGCGAATGCTTTTCCTACTCTTTTGTGCTTCGGCGTTTTGAGTGAGCTCGTCGATAAACAACAATGGCTCCATGGAAATGTCGACCTCTTCTTCATCTTCACAATACAAGTCATCATCTTCATGCCACGAGTTTCCATGGTCATCCTCATCACCATCATCATGGCCGCCAAACTGAGAGTCATCATAAGTACCACGGCCGTCCTGGCTTTGGGTCGCGTCGGCATCAAAATCTTGCTCTTGGTCGTCGACGTGGAACGCCTCAGCACGGCCCTTGAAGATGTCATTCTGCATGAACGGGGCGTAGTAAGGGTCATCGACCGTCGGCGTCTGCGCCGGAGATGGTATTTCGTCGAACAACTTGCGGGCACCGGCCATGTGAGCCGACGCGAATGGTCGAGGCTGCTTCCTTTGCACGTCGTCTTCACAATGGCCAGCGCCACTGTACCCGCGCGGTGTGATGTTGAGGTCGATGACGCCCGTGGGTGTGGTTGGATCGACCATCACGCAGTCTGGCAACATAGAGAATCACGTCTTCCCATGGTCGTGCGGCTACGGAGCACGAACATCCGGCGTATCGTGTGAGACGAACGAGCTCGGGGAACGGTGATGCGACGGTCGATGGGCCGAGGAGCCTGTGCTGGCCGTGGCCATGGCAGCGGCCGAGAGATTAGCCGGTGAGGGGTGGCCCATACCCATCATGTGGAGGGCGTGTGCCTTGGAGACGATGGACTCCTTGTCGTCGAGGTCGGCCTGGTGCTGCAACGCACGCCGCATGGCACTCAGAAGCGTATTGTGCGGCGTCCTTCTTCTCCTTTTGGAAAGTTTGACGGTCCCTCCTATTGGCCTATTCGACGTCGAGCTTGGTGGCCTCCGCCGGCTTGAGCTCCAATCGAGGCTTTTCCACAGACTTCTTTTTCTTCGACACGGGTCGGGCGGCAGGTGGTGGGTCGCCGGGATTCGCCTCGTCGGCCATGGTGGATGGAGGGAGGGGGAAGGCCGGGGCGCAGAAAAGTGGAGGGCAGGGCGCGGGAGCGTTTTGGAGGAAAGGGAGGGAAAGTGGCTGCCTGTGCCACTGACGAGCGGGCCATGGGAGGACAAGAGCGCGCGACCCACCCGTTTACGTGTTGTCTGTTCGGCCGCAAACTCGGCTCAAACTTAGCCCGGAATGACTCGAAAACGGACAGAAAACGGACGACGGTCCGTTCGCGGCCGCACATTGGAAGGCCTGCTTTGTCCGTTTACCCCCAAACGTACGCGGGCGGACATGATGGGTTCGTGCGTTAGAGTTGGCCTAACCAACGCAGCAATAACCCTACGTCTACAAAAGACTAATGAAAACTTGCCTAAACATCTCGCAAAAAACTTACCTAAACTTTCTAACTAAACCTCTCCCTCTGATTTTCACAGGATGAGCCCCTTCCTCCCCCTATCTCTCCAATCGCAGCTCTCCACGTTTCTTTTTACGTAAATGTTGCAAGTAATCTTACGTAAGTCTATCATTACTCTGAGGGCAACACAGCATTTGACGCAGTCACTATGACCCAGCAAGCATCCAATCAACGATAACCGTTGGATGGAAATCCAAGGGCTGCCACTTCGGGTTCTTTATCCCCACGCCACCTTGATGGTCTGACCTCCCCAAGTCGCCTCTTCCGCTGGTCCACCATGCCCCGGGCATCCCTCTAAACGCGGCCCTTCTTTAGCGTCGGGACCCCCTTCCATGGCCGTCCCCGCATCCGCACTCGTCAATCATCTACCTCGCTCTTGTCGACGCTGCGGCCAGCCGTAGGTTCCCTTTCTCCTGCTCGTCCCCATCGGGGACTCCGCGAGTCGGCCATACCACCACCGCCTTGACCTTTTTGCTCCGCACCTTCTCTAGGATTTGACTAAAGGTACAAAAAAATAAGGAGGACCAATAATGGCAAACTTTTTTTTGAAAGAAATGGTTCGGCCCCAGCCCATTTTCATTGAAAATGAGGTCACCTAAACCATTCACAGTGTTTGGGAGCAATCAGAGTATCTACACCAATCAAAGTACCGTAGACTTTCTTACATGACAAACAAACTAACATAACAACAACATAGACTACAACACACCCAAGGCAGATGATCACTCAGTGTCTCAAACTAGTTGATGTTTGCTCGTAGGAATTGCCGTCGGTGCTCATTTGTTCTATCCATGGGCAAGATCATCTCCGGACGATTCATAGCAGTTCTTCCTGCAATGTTCTAGCAGTAAGAGGCATTGTATCACTTGACAGATTGTGA